TCGTGTCTGCTTATTGATGAAAAACATTGAATTATCAATTAATGCCGAGGTTAACAGAAAGTCGGTCATGGGAATAACTAGGTCACCTTTTACTTTTTAACTATAGGTAAAACAAACGTGTTTTTATATCTGCATAAATATTCTGCGATAGCTTGACAGAAGGAATCGATATCAAGGAGGAGAATTTGGGATCAAGTGAAAACTGAGCTGGCACGGCCTGCAATGACTGAGTAGAATAATCTAGCAAAATGGCTATAAAACATCAAAAATGCATACTTTTCCAGAATCGTCTTCGTTCACAACACTACCAACATTGTGGCCCAGTTTCTTACCCCTTAATAAGATTTTCTTCCTTAACAGATTTGGACTTGGCATTAATTGTTGTGCCGAATTCGGATGCGGAAGATAGAGCATGTCACCAAGAACCTAGAATAACATTTTATAACTCTAAAGAGACAAAATAATAGTGAGGAACAGTGATTTAATTTTCAATCCCCGTTTATAACTATTCACTTAGAGAAGTAAAACCGTATAGCTACCGTTATTCTTTTAGTTTCAGCTAAATACTTCATAAATTTAACGTCACCTTCGAACCCTCATTTTCTACAATAAGTCCTATTGCTATTGCTAATCTATTACGTACTTGGATACTTGGATGGTTCGTCTTCACTGGTTGCACCGGCTCCAGCATAATTTTCGTTTTTTCGGAGTTTTGCTGGTCTATTTGTTGTGGTTCCCTGGAATTCCGAGGTCGGCTTGGCCAAAGTCTGCCCCACGCATCACCACCACAAGCAGTCGCCAGCCTTTGTGGATCAGAGGGAGTTCTGCCGCTATGCAACTTTGATACCAGGACGGTGGTGGATCCTGGTATTGGTCCTAACTGCGCTTTGTAATGGAAACACCGGACTCCTTCTCAGCTTGGGAGACCCTGCCAAGGAGATGAAAACCCCGCTGTACATCGCCACCCGACACCCAGGACCACCTCCCAGCCACAGTGAGGCGGTAAACCGTTGGGATGTTGCTAATCTACCAGCGCAACTATAGTTAGTTTCCACCTTTAGAACTTAAATATTACTTCTGACAACAACGGAACTTATTAGAAAAAAGCCTTGAAAATTGATTCACATTTCACATAATTTTCGGAGTTTTTCATATCCACTAATTATTCAAACTCATAAACCAACGAAGCTAAAAACATTGAACTCTTGGAACAGATGATGGCAGTTAAACGCTATAGAAAAATCTCGCCTTTCAAGACCAAAAGAGCGAAAAAAAATGGAAAGTAAGAAACTCTCTTCGATACAAAAGTGAAAGCCATTTAGAATTCGAAGCATAGGATAAAAACCGAAAGGGGTAAGAAAAATTGGCATGTATCAAACCTCTTGAAAAACGTCCACCATCACTCTCTGTTGCACAAGACCAACGTGATTTTCGAGCGTAAGGATGACAGGGTACGGGCTAGTCTCGAAAGCAAAACGCTAAAAATAGGCAACAGTGTAAAAAACAACCTTGTTAAAACCTACTTAATTCACTGAAAATCGCGAGAATTAAGAAGTATAGAACATATCACTACATGCTATCAAGGGAATTATAGATGTTTCGGATTTTTTTTCCTCGAAAGGCATCAGGGACTGAAATCAAGCATTGGGAACATGAATTTTAGTTTTATAAGGATAGCAAACTAACACTTAAGTGAGAGGATTTGAAATTGGCATGTATCAAACTGAAATGCAAATATCTCAGCAACGTTGTGGTTGTATTTCGCTTAGTACCCTGCCGCGAAATCATAGTAGGCAGAAAATAAAAAGGTATAACATTGAGAGGATTTATTTCTTACTCATAAAAGAAACGAATTCTCCTACGAACAATGGTAAGAACTGTGAAACAAGGAAGAAACCACTACATGGAATGCCATGGATGAAAGTTAGCCAAAAAAATAAGTAAACGCGAATCAAAAAGGTAAGTAGTCCAATCAATTGCAATATCTCACCAGAAACCTTAAATTTTACCTTGATAGCTTCAAGAGCGTTTCTTAATGTGATCGGATTAATTAGAGTACGTTTGTGAGTGATAACAGGTTCACCGTGCTCACCATCAAACAGATCCACTAAATCACCATTCATAAATCTCAGACATTTCAACGTAATAAAATCACATACACTCAAGAAGACGTGCTCCCTTTTTCAGGGCATAGATGTATCCTTCTATAGTCGCTTCTCCTCTTAACTGCAATCCAGCCAGATAAGTGTTGTGACTGGAGTTACAATAGTAGTGTGGAAGTGGATGATCCATATCTTGCCAAATTGATTCATGTCCTTGTTTAATAATATTTCCCCATCGTGATTGAAGAAGACGGCGCATTCCTTTAAGATACTACCAAAATTCAAACACAAAGGTTCCCGTACCGTTCAATTTTTTATGAGAATCTATTTGATCTTTCAATATAGTTTCAAAACCGGCTTTCCTTTAACCTCGGTGCGGCTAGTCACTATTTAATCCTTCTTTGATGAGCTTACACAAGTTACAGGTTACGAAGTTATTTAACAATCTCGTGTAAGTTTATCAAAGAAAGATTACATAATTCAAGATAGTGTTGCTACAATTGCTTTCAAACTCGTGATTTCAGTATTAAACCTTATGGTGAAAACATGCAAATTAGAACTCACCAATGACACCCATAAGTTTATCCCGCTGCCCCTCTTGTGCAACTTGCTCGAAAGTTTCCAGAATTGATTCTGCTTTATTCACATCCACATCTTGGAACTAAAAAGAAACAGCGAATCTATGGCAAAACAAAACCAAACAATGAAAAACTCAACCACATTAATATTAATTTCTTCACTCATGTGAAATCGTATGCTCTTAATTTTAATAGAACGGTCTCCATTACAGTAAGAAAACTGTTCTCCATAGTCAACGACGTGGCTGCCCTTCAGTAATCTTTTCTAAGTTTCACACTCTATTTCTGAAAATTTGTCTTCTCGTAGTGGTTTTTAAACGATTTGATTTAGATGTCAGTTAATTACCTAATTTTGTAAGGAGATTTAAAGGCAGCAAGTCCATGTCATTTTTTCATGTCAAAGTAGTTGATTTAATATAAGCTTCTGTCGAATGTAAACTATTAGAATTAAGATAAGAAGAAAAAACAAAAGAAAGCAATATTTCTGTGAATTGAAAGGAAAGCCCTAAAAATACTCCGAATACCAACTATGAATCTTGCCGAGGAACGTTATCAAAGGTTGAAGTAATGTATGGGTAGATCGAATGATTTCGTGATGAAGGTGAACAAAATATAGGTTCAAACTGCCTTTTAAGTAAAACAGATCCACGTAAAAAGGTTCGAAAGCCAGCTGAAGTAGTGAAGTAAAAGAATTTGATAAAACCTCAACCGAATTAAAAAGATAAGAAGAAACTTGTTGATAGAAGGCACAAAAAGAAAAAAAAACATGCAACCAAGAAACTGCAAGTTCCAGAGGTCTAGAATTTTACTCGACAGAATGAACCAAAATTTATCTTAAAAGAATGAAAGGGATAAAGCTCTCGGCATGCATCGATTCCTGAGGGATACGCCATGCATTTGACTTCATTAAGCATCATATGGAGGTGAATGAATGGATATCTGGCCTTTACAATGTCTCGCGGTGGCCTGCCGATGTATCTGAACGGGGCTGATATCCTCCTAGACAGGTCTGGTACCAATTTCCCGACCCCGGAGAGATGGAGGAATTGGTGGACGTGGGGCACGGAGATCGACCCCGTGTGTATTGCATCTCCGCCAACCACTGCGCTACATAAGCCCCTAATTTTATCTCACTGTGACAAATGTGTAGACTGCAATGATTCTCATACAGAGTGGTAGAGGTTACTATGCTTTGAAATGAGTACCGTTAAAAGTGGATAAAAACAAAGTTCTTGTCATAACGATCTAATCGCTAATTTGAAAACGAATGATAACATTCTGATAATACCGAAGCAGACGTTTTCCTTCCTGGAAAAACAGTCGCATTTGTAGTTCTAAATGGCAGCTCAATAGAGATATTGAAGTAATAACTAATAACGAAGTCTACGTAAGTGATAGTTGAAGCGCTGCCCATTGACTGACATTCTCAGATAAAACACTCTTGTTAATCTAAAAGATCTCCTCCCAAAAGTCATGAAATTGATAGCAGGCTTGTCCGTGAATAAGGGAACCTTGATTTGGCCATCAGTCAACTTATAGAAATCACTGCTTCACACGTGAAACGTGTATCCACCATCATAGCTAGTTCTTAACACGTATCGTCACATCACTACTGAGTTGATCCGCACTAATAACTTTGTGACTTCACCTTTTAATTAAAAAAAGCATTACGCCAAGTTGGACAGTACACCTTAAAAAAGCCATTTAGTCTTCACAAATTCTATTTGAAATTTTGTTGGATGAGCAGGCATTTTCTGAAGTTTCGAGACACTTTTGCTAGATCTCTCCTAGGCCGTGGATCGCATGTAAGTTATAAGAGATCTCCTCGGTGAATTTGAAAGAAATTCTAATGTCCGCTCTCTGCGATTAGTAAGTCATCTGCAGGTATAGAGAACTCTGCAGCGAAATCTGGCAGCTGATGGGTAGACATAAAAAAAGGAAACGGTAAAAATAAAGGGCCAGAGACGCTAAACACATTCCTCACTACGCTCACTAATGGTAGATTTTTAATTACTGCTTACCACAATTCTTCATTGCAGGGTATTATATGCGATACAACCACAGTAATGCCTAGATATTTGCAAAACTCCAGACTACAGTTGTCTCCGGTTAACTGGGCTCAATGCGGAATTATGCTCCCCAGATTAATCCCGTTGACGGATGATTGCTGATGGCACTTGTACATGGAGAAATAGCTGAGCGATACGGAAAACGAAGGACCAACATGATTGTGGTCGTGAGCGCAATAGCCCCCGTAAAGACTAATGCTCATTAATTTCAAAACACAAGTGCTCGAAAATCAGCTATTTTCCCTTAACTAAACATATCCCAGTTCAGTGAAGTAATGAGAAGAAACTATTACGACCCATCCTCGCAAACCAAATACAAGAATCCATATTCTATCCAGACGAACTTCTGATTTTCGGTTATCCATAAGTCATCCTTTTTTTTTGTTCCGCTAAGATCCCTAGTTTGAGCAGCGTACGTTTGAGTTGCTTGTAGATTTTAGATTAACTGATTTCTAAGCAGTTTTAGAATGAAAATGTTAGCATAGAAAAACTACACGTAATTTAGAAAGATATGAAAAAGAATTCCCTACAGTTATCGAAGAATGAGAACGGGCATGAACATGTTAACGAGCTCAGTAAGGCAGGGAATGAAACGGACAGCGAAAAAAAAATGAGGACAGAAACAATAAAGAATCTTTGGAGAAACAGAAACTAATCTATAGATGAAGGACTTGATATAATGGAAATCACGCCAGATTATTAGAGGATGGAAAACGCTTTGCAAGGGTAAGCAACAAAAGAAAGAGAGCAGTTTTTGGCTGGCTAAAAGATACTACGTAGGACGTGATGAAAGCAGAACTCCTGCTGAATTAATCCATTTAAAAGTTTTGCACTTTATCTTCTTCCACTCTATTCTTTCTGAAACTCAACTTTTGTTGACTAAGATGTTAATCGAAAACGCTTCAAGTCTCGTGCGGATTGAGATTTTTATGAAAAACAACGTCAAACGAACTTCTCCAGCTTGCATTTTCAATGCTGAATAACTGGACTAGATTAAGCCAAACTTGTAAAGGCGTACGATGAAAAAGGGTTTCTATCAGATCAGTATGGACGGCATTTTTTTAAAACATGATATCATTGTTGAAACCATAATCTAATGCTGCATAATATCAAAAGTCAAACGTAAAGGAAAAAAGTAGAAAAAAAGACGAAGTGTTTGACGAATTGAGGCTGAAGTAAGAATGGTTAAAAATCCATGAGTTAGTTGAAGCGATAAGGATAAAAACGAAAGAATAAGTGGTGATTTTTGTAGACCTGTCCACGAATAACTCACGATTTCGTAATCCGTAATTTGTAATCAGACCTACTACCAATGATATCTCAGAGAAGGTCCGATGGCTCCATGAACCTGATAGAAGACAAGGGATGAATTAATGTTCTTCGCTACATGTTCCACAAAAGTAAGAGAGGGGAATATGTATCATTGTCACAAAACGATTGACATATATCACATCATCGAAAACATAGGAATTAGTCCCCACACAATTCCACAAAAAATGGCTGATCCACAATTTCAAAGAAATTAGTCGCCCTATTTCTTGGCCCTCTCTAAGCTTTACACTTAAACGCTTACCCTTTAACATTAGAGTGATAACACAATTATAACATTAAAATATCTTCCGAAAAAATGCCTCACACAGCCGTATCCCATTTACTTCGGATAGAAGCACTCACATCTTGCTCCTCCACGAGAAACTTTTTCAGATCGGAAACTGTCAAACTTTCGACGCCTTCACTGCTCGCCATTCGAAGCAAATGCCTTACTTCTGGACGATCAGTCAAGCAGTCGAAGAATTTAAGAAACTCGTCCTTATCTAGAACTCCGTCACCAGACTTTTTTTCTGCTTCCTGAAAAGATTTTGCACAGGATAGAACTACCAATTATAGAAAAACCATAGCAAGATTTAGGAACTTTCTACTAGTATCCTAGGAACACAGACCTTGAACATTACTCTAGCATATTCCTCACTTATTTCAAGATTCATTTTCTTCAGTAGTGACCAAATTTCATTGAATGACAGCGTTCCTAAAATCGCTCACCATCTGTGGCATCTTTACCTTTGTGGACATTAAAGAAGTACAAGTCATTGAAAAAAGTGAACAAGTACCGTTCTCGTTGTGGTCCGCTTCGACAAATTTCTGCAAAATCCATGCCCTTTCGTTAAAATGGGCGCTTTGCTCTTTGACTTGTGAAATCAGGTAAGTGAGCGCAGAAACCCATCGATCGCGATCCTACATTTAATACTGATTTGGACCAGGAAGTAGGACAAGCATGGTGGACATGGCACAGTGGCAATAAAATCGTTGAACACATGGATGAAAAAAAACCGAATTGCTTCGGAAAAGCGATAGTCCCACTATGCTAATAAAGCTACGTACTAAGATAGAATATCTGTATATTCCCCTGTAACCGTCAAAAAACAAACTGCACCTCTTTTCTGTTCGCTGCGAAATCCACTGACTTGTGTAGAAACCTTGCATGTGTGAAAATCACTGAGAAGCATGTCGAATCCTAAAGAGAAAAAACATGGTATTCTTATACACACTTGTAAAGAAACCTGAAAATAGTTGGTACCGGTGCTGCTTCCTGAAACTCATACTTCTTCGCTGCTTTATGCAGATTATCAGTATTATACCCTGTACGTACATCCAGGATATCTGTCACAGGTACTAAAACGTATCAAATTGTTCAGTTCCTAAACAGAGCATCCTTATAAGCAAAGAAAATGTGTCCAAGACCAGAAATAAATAGATTGTAGTTTTAGATTGAGTTTACGACGATAGAAAAATATCACTCTGATATTAAAAGTGCAGAAGGTTGTCCAATTCAAAAGCGTGGAAAGAAAAGGTAAAGGATGCGTAAGCGTTTAACAGCTTTCTTTGTTATTACTCCCTTTAACGTTTTCACTTTTGAAGTAGGAAAGAACATCATCCAGAACACCTCCACTGATTTTCGCGAATACTTGGTTGTAAGTTATCGTGCCTCGAGAATACTTACTTGGATACTTGCACGGTCCGTCTTCACTGGTTGTGTGGGTTCCAGCATGATTTCCGCTTCCGCGGAGCTTTGCTGGTTTAGCTATTGTGGTTCCCTGGAGTCCTGAGGTCAACCTAGGCAAAGTCTGCTCTAGGTCGTCGCAACCACAGGCAGTGGCCGCCCTTGAGGATCAGAGGGAGATTCGCAACCATGCGACTAGTTTCATACCAGATCGTTGGTGGACTCTGGTATTGGTTCACTCTTAGGTGGACTTCCTAATGGAAACGCTGTATCCCTTCTCAGTTTAGAAGACCCTGCTGAGAAGATGAATCCCTCCCTTTACATCGCAATACACGCAAGAACACCTCCCAGCTGCGATGAGGCGTTCGTTGGGTCTCGAGAATGGCTTTAAAAATATTGGTACGTCACGAAACTGTTTTGAATCTGGTATATTCTTACAGAAAGGTGGTAATTATGAGAAGCAGTGAAGGATAATTCAAATTATGTAAAATAGATCTCAAGTAAAAAATTATCTGATGAAAAATGAATTGGAAAGAAAATTGGGTTTTTCTCCCTTGGAAAGAATACTAGAATACTTCCATTCTAGAAGATATAAAAGGAAAATATAGGCAAAGCCTCCACAAAAAAAATACCCGTGAACAGCAAATATTAAGCGGTCACAAGGAAACCAATTGATATTAGCTTCAGAAATCATGGACTACTTTCAATGTACGTGACAAAATGCATGGTACAGAGACAACTTTAAAAGCTGCAGAAAACATCCGTCTTTATTAAGGAAAACTTACCATGCAGACTCTCCACTGATGCCTTCCCCGCATGCCCTATCGATATCATCAAAATAGGTAACTAAACGAGTAGAAAAACTGAAGAGACCAACGGAACGTGGATTAGAGCTATCGTGATAACAGATTGCTCCACAACTCACATGAGTTTATTTGTGATCTAATATGCTCGTTGCCTTAATCTTCGACATTATGAACACAAACGGAAACTCTCCAACGCATCTCACATCACCCCGGCTAATCACTTATACAACGAAACGACTGTGATTATGAAGTCTATTGCACAGTATTTCAAAACCGAGTTTTCTTTAACCTCGGTATGAATAATCAACATGCATTATTTCTCTGATAAGCTCACACGAAGTTATTAAACAATCTTCATTCGACTAACGTCTCGACGTCTTCGTCTTCGCCTTCAATACGAGTATCCTGTAGAAAAGAGCGTCGCATTAAGTGAGAATGCTTCATTCGAAAGATGCTCCACTGAAGAATATCCTACTCGATACTAAGATGAAGACGCCGCCACAACGAGAAGACGAACAACTGTGGACGATCGACTCGGATCATCGACTCTGATGAAGGCGAAGACGTCGAGGTGTTAGCCGAATAAACATTGTTTATCAACCTCGTGTACGCTTATCAAAGAAAGAATACCTGCCGCATAGTGTTCCTAACGATCGCCCCGTCAACGCTATTTCGCTAAAGTTGGTTATGGGCGCAACAACGTACAGACCAAAGACGACCACGTTGGTAGGAAAACATGTCTCTGTGTAGGCTTCGCTGATCTGTCGTATGTTTTGCTGACATATTGCGAACCACATCAAAGACCAGAAACAGAACAACTACACAGTGAATTCGATTGCGCGCATGGGATCAGCTGCAATCGATCCGCATAAAGGCTGTTTAAATAAAAATTAAGTCGCACGGACGTCCCGGCAACCATGCTGAATACCATAGTTATACTTGTCTAGGCTGGAAAGACAAAATCAATCTCATATGAGCAAAACTTGGGAAAACGAAAACATCGTTATTAGAGTACTCACAGGAGTGTCGGAGGTGCAGTATGGACGATAAGAAGCGCCTTCAATGGCGATACCATGCCTTTTGCTTCCCTAGCGGATGCTTCAGGAATCTGTGCACTACTTAACCAAAGAGAGAATGTACGATAGTGCTGGTGCGGTTGGTCTCTATGCGACATACTCAGCGGAAGACTTATAGAAAACGGTGAGTGTACGAATAAGCTATTCTGTGTTCAATGTGATGGAAATGTTGGTTTAGCATTTGTATGTTTGGTTATCGAAGGTGTTTGGCTGGGTAGATTGCGGTCAATTTGACCTCTCCAGGCTCTGAGCGAGGCGAAATCTGCCGAAACGTCAGCTTCTCCGTAAATAAAGAAATAAAATAACACCTCGCGTTTGCTCAACAAGAACAAATATAAAGGATCTAAGCTACGTTTGAAAACAGAACTTGGCTAAGTTGGAATTTATTACAAAAGAGTAGGAAATTATTACGATCCTAGAGAAATGGCGACGAGGAAAATAATGCGTATCAACAACAAATATCCCCCAAAATGAAACTAACCAGACTTCAAACTGTTCGGCAAAAACCTGAAAAAGTAGTTGGTGTAGTAGTTCACATATTTGCCTTCCTTTATAGCGACTAGATTCGGAGGTTGTAGCTTTCCTCTGTAAAAACACGGATTCTGTAAATTTCTTTGGAAGGAAAAAACACACCATCAAATAAACAAAATGCACTGAACTCGATTTTCAATGGGCGCTTTCTTGTTTCTACGTAAGGTTCCCGAATCAATGATGATTCACCAGAAAACACGTTCTCCAGGTAACGGGGGGCGAGGAACGAAGTCAACACTATTACAATCGGAAACAGCGATGTCACAGCCCAAATTCTGCTGTTATTTGCACAGAAGACAAAGAAAAAGAACACCAGACAGCGCTGTAATGGTACTGAGAAGTACGGAGACTCCAGAACAGAAGCAATGAACGCAACAATCTCACAGAGTAAATTCGGAAGTGATGCGGACAAGTAGCCCTACCTCTTCACGCGCCTCAGCAAACAGCCGGATTTGGCCCAGACGACGTCCTCCTCACGACGTTGTCGCTCCTCGTCGCAGTCCGCTGCCACCGCGCCATCCATCGCTGGCTGTGGTCTGCGTCTCTGCCTCGCTTGCTGCTGCACTCGCACCGCCCGCGGTCTGCCCACCGCCGCAAAGGAGTGGTGACCACGCCCACCCCTCCGGGCATTCCCTCGTCAGTGATGGTCGGGGGGTACCGTATAGGAATGCACTTTTTGGCCTCAGCGCTACAATTTCTCGAACCGAGGTAAAAGTTGTGGTGTCGTTTTGCGTTCGCATGAATGCGTGAGTGTGGCATGTGAATAATCTACATCTTCACTAACTCCATCTCGTAAAGAATCTTTTTCTATCTATGGGTAGAAGTTAGATTTGACCGAGAGCTTTAACGCTGCTACGACTTTGGAAACATTCAGAATGCCAGCCAGATGAGTTCTAGTTGGTTTCCAAACGTTGTGGATCATATCTAAGCGCACTTTGAGAGATACAAATCTATCCATTGAATATGTAGGCAAACTACTTTAGTCAGGAAGCAAGTCCTTTAATGTCGCCAAAATACCTCTTTTTAAACTTGTGGTCGGGACTTGAGGTTTTGATAGATGAGCTACGAGTGTTTACAGTCGCTGGGGGGATCTTCAAATTTATTGCTTCGATTTTTTTCGCTTTGAAGAGAAACTTCGTAGCTTGTTTGAGCACTATTTTTCAAGTTCAGACATAAAATGTGCAACCGAAGTCAACTTATACTTCATTTCCAGAAGCTGAACGAAGTATGGAAAGGTGGTTAACGCTAAAGAAAATAAATTACTTCGATGTTAAATTCACTTCAAAGCGTGACATAATTTTCTAGGGATTCTCTCTTCACATATTTTCTATTTAGAAAATATAAACGCATTCTGGTCACTACTATTATCACCTGGGGATATCGATAAGTGCTGCTTAAAGCGCTCGCCCTATTACCACTAACAGAAGTTCAGTTCAATAATGAAGAGAGAAAACGCTTTTAGAATTCGCTTATTTACGAGGTATCTATGACGAATTTTTTTCAGAGTGGATGACGATTTCGTTGATCGTCTCCACTATCTGTACACATCGACACTGATGCTCATGTTCGCCATATTAGTGTCAGCCAAGCAGTACGGTAAGTATGGGTAAAAATCTGGTGGCTCTCTCTGATTTTCTCCTCCTGCAAACAATACACTCGTCCTTAGCACTCACAGTTTTTTGCGATCTATTTTTTCTCTCTCAAAGACATGCTCCGCGTGAAGATAACAGCTTCCACAGGTAACGTTGTGTACAGCTTCCACAAGTAACTTCTGAAAGCTTTCCTTCCTTACTATTGGGTGCTTTGATCATTGGTTACCTTGTTGAGTAATACTGTTACAATTAATCCCGTTATAGATATAATTCGAAAGCACATGGGAGGACTAAAAGTTTCCTTAAGACTTGTTGCGTACTGACTTTCACTTCATAAAGTGCTAATCTACTGGATGTGAAAGAAAACTCATCGAGCGGTTCTTTTCCTTGTATTATAGTGGCGGTGTGCTATGCTGGATTAAGTGGTTTCATTAAATCTTCACAATAAACCAACGTTAGGGCTGATTTGGGTGCTGAACTATTCAAGCAAATCTTTAAGAAAGTCTCTTGAAACTCTCCAATAAAGTGAGATTTCTATCAGTTACAGAAAAATCGGGATGTCAGGATGTTACTTATCTGACAAAGGAGTGGTTGAGACGTGATGAGAGACTGAGAAAAGTTCACACGTAGCTAGATTGCCCACTTACTATGTCGCATCTGAAGAAAATAATGTGTTTATATGCTTAAAAAGTCGGCATTGAACGGGGAAAAATGTTCTGCAAAAGCCCTCATGCCTCAGTGGCTCTCTATTATTACATTTTGTCGCCGACAACAATGACACTGAAACGTTAAAAGCCGTTTAGCAAGAGTAATTGTGAATTCCAGTTGTTGAGACATTTGGAGCTCCTTTGTGTAGGCGCGAAAGAGCTAAGTCTCCTGAATCGAATATGCTTGAGCTCCAAGATCTGTTTTAGAATCAAATTGAGGAATCGTAATCTAGTCCTTTTCATTCAACTTTTTAAAATTGATCGTATTTAAAATAGGATGGTTTCAAATACTCGACAGAACCAACCAAAACTTTTGTTCAGCTCTAGCTACTTGAATGATAGAGGAAGAAGTCTGATGGACGCGCGTTTGCACTTAACATTTCGAGGTTTGGATCCTTAAAGAAGTGACGTGCTCAATGTCGAACCCGAGGGAGTATCACTTTTTTAAAATCTATTGATTGGGAAAAATTAACTTGTTCGAGCAGACGACTGATTTTTAGTGATAGGAACTTTCGAGAGAAGTCTAGTGACATCGATGTACCCAAATAGTAGCACGTTTCGTATTATGTTGCTCCTGATTTTTCTAAGTTTTTGTGTAACAACAACTGCGCAGTGCTGCAAGAGAAACGTCGGGATGGCGTATTGAAATCGAGAGTGTGAGTGGAAGCAAGGCGAACTCGATGCCATAACTTCATGAAATGTCTCCTGCTGTTGATAGACAGCTGCTTCACGTTCGTGATTTGTCGTCACCGTTTGTGTATAATAGCGACGCGCTTAGTCCGCATGATGATGATGTCCAACGGAAGGTCACCGGAAGAAAAAGAGACATCTATGCTGAGTATCCGGGTAATTTGGGCTCTTGTGACCGTCGATACCGTTCTACAACTTCCATTCCTTTATGAAGTATCATTCTCTTGTGCAGCTGAATTCGTATAGACACGGCGTCCAGCAAAGAAAGCATTAGAGAATACATCACTTCACGGTTGTTTTTAGAATATTCTCAAATCCCTCAGCATAAATTTATTTTTGGCAGGCCTCTCGCAAGCATGAACAATTTCTTCTTGTAATATGACAAAGTGCAACATGCTCAGCAAAAGCTGAAATATAGTTCTCGGATAGCTGTCACTGATGGCTTTGAAGATGAGCATTTCGAATCCAGCACTTTTCGAACACCTGACATTATTGAGGGGCGTCCAAAACTCTACATTTGGGTGCTTCTCGATTTCATCGACGGATGCCATGTGTTGAGAACGAAGTCAGCAGTCACTTTCTTACTTACCCAATATTAAGTTCTTGCAAATTAGCGTTTTTTTCGGCCTTGTTCCCCGTTTTTATTAAGTTTATATGTGATGTCGCTGAATGTTTACAAAAGATTAATCGGCAAAGACTAGAAGGAAAGACGTTTCCATAGAACGTAGAGAAATCACCTCTTCAGTAAAATCGCTTCTGATTTTTCCTCCTTCACTTATTTCCTTAGCTTAGAACGAGAGCGCAGCTGTTATAACGGCTGCTAAAGTGCAGTTTTACTTGCATCTCATGAAAGGCTGTTCTCCTTGTTTGCCGCTTCTCCACATTCTTTGCATATGAGTTTCCTGAAATAAACAAATAAGATGTAAAGCTGTGTTGAGCTTGTTTTGTTCTATCGGCGGGTCCTTCATGATCCAGTATCGATTTGGTTTCATATCACTTTAAGCTTGTAAATACCTTATTTTAAGTGGATTTTTCCAGTCGGACATCCAATTGAATGTTTCGTACCCGCACAGTTTACCCGAGCAATGGAACAATACACAGAAAACTACTGCTGGGTACAAAACACTTACTGGATACCCTTTCAGGCGAGTACTTTTTTTAGTTCACAGCACCATATCGTTCTCTTCATCATTGATCCAACATGTTATCCTTCCTATTATGTGATTTTATCGCTATATCTTAGGTAGAAATTCGTCGCTTAAGTTCTGATGTAATGACTTTTGAAGTGGAATCATTCAAATAAACAAGTACACCGAGCTCGTTCTCGCACAGCTGCTGCTTGACTTAACTACGTCTCTTCCTTGCTGCCTTTTTTTCTATTCGTTACTTAACTTTAACTTCATGAGTATTTCTTGAGGTCATTTAAATCAATTCTTACGTAGAAGTGCTTCTTAGTGTATATGACGGAACTTCAGTTCTGAAAATAGCTTGATACGAAGAAATCTAAGGGCTCATAGTTTTCTTCTTCGTAGTTCCCATTTGTTCTTGCCATCCTATCAGATCGTTTCCAAAAGTAGTCGAATTTTCTAATAATTTTCCTCCCTCTTTTTCACCCGACTATCGTTATTCGGAGTTCTTCTCGGGTGTCAACATACTGCGCACAGGTAGGGTTCATTTGCCCAGTATGGTTACCCGTACTGAGAAAGAAAATTCGAAAAAAGAGAAAGGAAATTCTAAGTTTGTTTTCCGAAGCCCAGTTAACAATGAATTTATTTCACAGCAAAGCCCGTCCAGCTGCCCATGGTAAAAAGAAGTCATATCAAAAGTATGATGCTCTTCCGGCCCCTGGGGACAATTGGGCAACTTAGGTGGATGATGGTGACGAATGGAGTTTACTAGTGCCCTCTAAAGTTACTTGATGATAAGAGGACCACAACCGACTTGCTGGCCGTCAGTTCAGCGGCGGTTAATGAGTGAATAATTCCTCCATATATCACAAATTAGATTTAGTTGCTTAAATAAAATAAACGAGAGATGATGAGGAGGCCGTTGCTCGCCTACCCAAAACACCGATTGTGGACGCTAAGGGCATATATGGCGCAGTGGTAGGAGTCGGCTTGCAACACATACACACACACGTGGAATCGATCCATATGCCCATGGTCCACCAAGCCCCCATCCCTCTGGGGTCAGCAAATTGGTACCAGTCTTGTCTGGGAGGATAGCAGCACTGGCTCGATACATCGGTAGGCCACCTCGAGTCATTGTAAAGGCTAGATAATCATTTAATGACCTCCAAACGATGCTTAATGAAGTAGAATGCATGGCGCATCGCTCAGAGATTGATCAACGCCGACAGCTTTATCCTTTTTTTATGAACGCTATAGCGTCCATACGTCCCTAGTCTAGAGGGCTGTGGACACATGGTGTCTATTTTCAGTTCAGTGTGTTCCGAATTTTTTTTTTACCATACTTTATATATTCATTCGGTAGCTAATCGAAAGCTGATCAAAATAGCAGGGATTAGACTAGAAAAGCCATTCCCTACACCCAATGACTTGCAAAAAAAATTCTTCATTCGAAAAGTCTATCTGCTGGCAATTTGAATAGCAGATAACGTTTCCTTCATTTTACTCACTATATTGCATGGAAGGTATAAAGGATAAATAAAGGCTAAACTCTCGGCGGTAATCAATCGCTGAGGGATGCTCCATATGTTGGACTTCATTAAGCATCATTGGAGGTGATTTAATGAATATCTGGCTTTTTCAATGACTCGCGATGGCCTGCCATGCGTCGAGCCAGTGCTGCTATCCTCCCAGACATGTCTGGGACCAATTTGTCGACCCCGGAATAATGGAGGACTGTGTAACCTCAATAGACTGAGGCTCAGGGATCGATTCCATGTGTACTGCAGTGGGGCTCCGAGTAGACATAGAAATGAAAACACCTCAATAGACTCAACATAGGATGCGAAATACTTCCAAGTTCCAGTAGTAATGTATTTGCAAAGTGGACTACTGCAGGAGCACGCAGTTAGTCTTGCAAATACCCTAGCATCATTGTGGTTGAATTTCACACAGTACTCTGCCGTGAAAAATTGATAGGCAATTGGTAGAAAGTTATACACAGGAAATAAAGCAAAAAGAGGGTAAAGCTCGGCGTTGGTCATTCCCTGAGAGATGCACCATGCATTCGACTTCATTAAATATCGTTGGAGGCGATTGAATGCATATCTGGTCTTTATGACTCGTGGTGGCCTACCGATGTATCGAGCCAGTGCTGCTATCCTTCCAGACAAGTCTGGTACCAATTTTCCGATTCCGGAGGTATGGAAGGCTTGGTGGGCCATGGGCGCAGAGATCGATTCCACGTGTATGTGTCAGTGGTGCCTCTAACCATTGCGCCACGCGCGCCCTTTACACAGGAAATAGTAGCACAAATTTTATTCATACCCATAGAAAGATAGAGCAGATTTTCCTCTACAATACTATTCTTCTCACAACTCCACAACTTCTCTAGTTATCGAAAAATCATTTTTATTGCGAAAAAATCGGAAAGTCCGCATTCGACCGACAGACATCCCTATTCCACTGAGCCAGCCGCGCGTCCTTGTGAGTTAAAATATAGGTTTTAGATAGAATCGTTGTCAATTACAAAACATTCTGACTTTCCGCAATATATAGTTGTTTCTAACAATGAATATAGGTGTTGTGTCCCTTTTTTCTTAACAGGCCATACCACAAAAAACGTGGACGTCGTCATCGATTTCCTTATGTAATCAGTACTCCTAGAAAAAAAAAACGCCTGCGAAAAAGGGCTGCAAGTTTTATTCAAGGTTTTAGGAAATTAATATAGTCTTGCTAATTTAATTTCTATGTCGTTGACGACTCCAGATGTGAGTTGGCGAGTTTTTTGGGAATGAAAAACCTGAAATGGAACTCTAAGTAAAGGGGGTGCAGCTCGCTGCTCTGTTCTCAACTACGATCTAATTCTTGTACGTATTTGCTTGAAACCAGTTATATCCGGGCTGTCATCTAATTCGTACAGCTGAAGATTAAAATTAGGACTTTACATAAAAGGTAAGACTTGGAAAAGGCTGGAACTAAAGAGTTTTAGAGAGCGTGCCAGAGTCCTCTGTTGAACCGATGGAAGTGTCTCTAAAACTACGGTGAAATGTAAAGTTTATGAGCTTCGGTGGAAACCTACTGATACAGAAAAAAGACAGTGGAGCTAGAAATCATGAAGAACATCGTACTGTGCATGATTTCCTACGTTCATTATTTGTACTTTGTTCGAGTTTCGCGTTCATTAAAATTTTCAGAATTTTCAATGAGATTTCATGCTTGGTATTGGTTTCTTAAAAGTATTTAGGAAAACTCGAATGTAACTGCATAAACAGTAACTAGCTGAGAGACAGTCGAAACGATAGACCCGCATGGTGTCGTGGTGAACGCGTTACTCCACGGAAAGGACAATAGCGCGTTCGTTCCCCACCGCAGACACGTGCGGTCCGGAATTTTGCAAATATCTCAGCATCATTGAAGTTGTATACACAATAGTTTAATAGGTCCATACGGCTTTCATAAGTTAAACAAAAATATTTTCCAATCAATAAATTCTTGTGCGTTTCGTAGGTTTTTAAAAATCGTTAGTTTCCCGTTGTCAGTTTCATAGAAAATTTTAAATTCACTTAATTAAGTACTAAATATTTTTTAAATTGAATCAATTCATTAGTTGCTAAATACTTCAAGGAAATAATAATAAATAAAAAAGATTCCCAGAAGTCCGGAATTGGCGGATTGGTAGTAGACTTTTCTGGGAAGAATGCAGGACTGACTTGGTGCATCGAAAAACCACCACAAATCACTATATAAGCCATAAATGCATTCACACGCCTCTAACGATGTTTAATGAATTCGAATGCATGGCTCATCCCTTTGAGACCGGTCAAAGCCAAACGCTTCCATCCTTTTATCGTCTTGAGAAGTATGATTTTAGGGCTGTGGTGTACATCGCAAATGTAAAATTTCACCACTTTCTTCAGTCGGCGCCATCATTAGAACTAATTCCATCTAGTTGTTTATTGCCTTCACTTATTGGCTACTTCTAGAGCGGTGATATAACCAGACCATTTATGTTTGAATATGAGTTTTCATCGGCGTTTTCAAGTGCTTTACTCTAGAAAGTGAGGCTAGGCTGCACGTTGCTCGGTGATTTTTCTGTCAACATGTTTTACACAGTCAAGATTGTTCCTGTATTACTAAATAATTATCTCAACAGCATATAGTAGACTGACTTTCCTTAAATCTCGGTGTAAATAACCGATGTAGTTTGTTTCGCTGACACGTTAACACGAGGTTGTTACAACATTTATTCGGCTCCCGTTTCGATCAAAGCGTTCTGATGTATTTTTTTCTCCCAATAAACACTTTCTGTTGCCATATGACTTTAAAAATTTTCCCAATGCTAAGTGATACACTCAAACACTGTTACAGTGCTCGACTTCAGTATGAATATCTTCTTAAAAAATCGTGGATGAAAACGTAAAAGCTTGAATTGCCTCACATCTCTTTGTTCAAGAAGCACTAGTTCAGGATCTAATCCCACATCGACTGGACGACCGCGAGAGGCGGCAGATCGGCTACTATCAGTGGGTTCCGTTTGTCCTGGCTGTCGCCGCGTTGTTGTTCCACATACCGTCGTCGATTTGGCGAATGTTATCCAATCAAAGTGGTTCGTTTTCAACCTTGCCACTCATTTCCGATGCTTTTGAAAGAATATTTGTAGGTCTCAATGCTAGTTTGGTCTTGCAATTGGCCTGTCAAGAACAGAATGTCGATCCGTTGGTGCGAAATAAAACTATTGACATTTTAGCTAGACATATTGGTAGGATAATTTTACGAAAAAGTTAATATTCGTATGGTTGTTTGTTTTTTTTCTGTTTCGTCTAATTTTGCACGTATTCTCCTAAGCTTAGCTTTCCGAGTTTAAGTCCTATTGCTCTTCCACAATTTCCCATTAAAAACTCAGATACTTCATTTTCTTAAGCCGTTACAGTCGTTATTTCGAGGTTCAACTACTGATACTTGCAATCATTAGTTACGTAATTCACGCCTTGCAGACGATGCACTAATGTATCAAAGAGAACATGGTGCCACCAAGAAGAACATCTACATTTTTGCTGTAATTAGAATAGGTAAGAATGTTAACGTCTCGACATGCGGATTTTTCAAAACGTAATGATCAAAGCTGTTTTTTTTGATTTCTGAATTGTCTAAGGTCCACTTTCTACTACAGGTTTCCACGGTGGTACCCGAATGAGTAGTAAAAGTTAGCTCAAAGTAAAATTTCCTGTAAGGGACCAGTAAAAAAACGCCGAAATAGTAGAGTCGCTGTGGTCAAAGAAGATTGTAGAAGATATAAGAAGAAGATATCATAGCAACCACCTCTTGGATCAACCTTTTTAAATTATGGTAAATTTGTTCGTCTGTTATGATCCGTTCAGGAAAGTTTTATGGTGCGTATGTCGCCACAGTCTACGTATTTATCAAGACGTTGCACTTGTGCAATGTGATTCTACAGTTCCTGCTACTGAACTCCTTTCTTGAAACGGCCGATTATCCGCTGTTTGGTGCTCACGTGCTCTACGATCTGTTACTAGTAAGAAGTTCCATTCATTTGCTTCTTAACTCTTACTACACTGTAGAGGACCTATGGAGAAATCTGCCCAGATGGAAGATGAATGTCACAGTTTGCAGTGAATATCTTTTTTTATGACCATTCTACTCTAAATGAAATACTAGAATCTCTTCTTCTAGAAAAGGAAAGTTCCAGAAACAGGTGATCTCGGAAAGGTAGTTGACTCGAAAAGATTATCATAAATGCGGCGATATATGATTGTTATGGACAGCCATAAGCAAAGATGGTGTTTCACCCCGTTTTAAAGCTTGACGCTTTGTTCTAGCACACTTTTGTTATAGAAACTTTTGAAGCTTTGTTTTTATATTATTCACCTTTCTAGGCTCAAATTTAGCTTTACGTCATTATAACTATCTTACTTTATTTCGAAACCGACTTTCTCTAAACCTCGGTGTGACTAATCAATATGTATTCTTTCTTGATAAGCTTGCACGAGGTTGATAAATATATTTATTTTCGGCTAACGTTTCGACGTCTTCGTCTTCCTCAGAGCCGATGGTCCGAGTCGATGGTCCATGATTGTTGTTCGTCTCGACATTGCAGCTTCGCCTTCGTGTCGAGCCAGGTCTCCTCAGTGAGCCATCTTCTCGAATGAGGCATCCTCACTCAGTGATGCCCTTTTATACACGATGCTGATGGTGGATATATAGTGATAATGTCCGGTGGTAACAGCATGTATTTCTTCCGGACATACGTCGTTGCGCACATCGTGCAGAAGTCGGTGTTTTTATCAGCTAGCACAAAGCGTAGTAATAATATTTCGAAACCGACTTTCTCTAAACCTCGGTGTGACTAATCAATATGTGATTTTCTTCGTATTTTTGTTGAGCAAACGCGAGGTGTTACTATTCTTTGTTCACGATTAAGCTGACGTTTCGGCGAATTTCGCCTTCTTCAGAGCCTGGAAAGGTCAAGTTGATAGCAACTCACTCGGCCAGACGCCTCCATAACCAATCAAAGAAACTCCAAACCAAGGTTTCAATCACTTTGAACACAGCTTTGCACACTCACCGCTTTCTATGAGGTTTCCACTAAGCATGTTACGTAGAGACCAACCGCACAGAAATCACGTGGAAGTATAATGTGCCCCTCACATCAGAAAAGCAGTTTTATATTCTGCCCTATATCACGCGTGATAATGAGGCATTCTTCCCTGCGGTTCATTTTCGGATTTCTGGAATTAATCCAGAATGCCTCGAGAGTTTTGCGCGCTTATGTTCTTGATTCGTATGCGAGGATCGTGACACATACTTCAAAGTCCTCCCCGTTATGTCTCTGGGTCCTATGCGTGCCTAGCGGAGTATTTGGTCTATGTTTACCGGCTAGGTGTTCTTTTATGCGGACACAGAGGGGTCTACCCGTTTCGCCAATGTATTCGTCACCACACGTCTTACAGGAGATCAGATAGACTGTGCCCGAGTTCATGCAATCACCGTCTCTACCACTGGGGCAAATTATGCAATTTTGAGTTGCATATAGACGGTCATATAGGCGGTTACGA